CCCCACCTCTTGATTCTCTTGCATTTGCTGATCAGATTTCAATGTGAAATCTCAGAGAGAATTTAAACATTTAGTCAATACTAGTCCATTCCTGTATTTGCTGCCCAATTCTTGTTTGTTGTCATGTTCAAAAGGTGGGGGGAGTGAGAGGAGGGGAGGGAGTGGGAATTAGGATTAGTATGTAAAATGAGAAAAGTTTGCTTTAAAAAATAAAATAAAAAAAGAAAAGAAATCTTGTCAGATTCCAAGTAAGTCCAAAACTCAACAAATCCAACTACTTTAATTCTGATGATTGAGAATGATTGTTGTTTGTCTTTTTTTTTCTAGGCAGAATGAGGTAGGGGTTGATCCCTTACAGATTTTCTGGGTATAGCCCTCATTGTGACACTCGTGGATTGACTTGGACTCACTGTAGCTTTCTGACGTGTAGTAGTTCCACATTGGTGGTCCACGCCTTGTAGAGAATCTCAACTCCATGGCTTGACTGGCAATTTCCCAAGTGGAACCCTTTAGATACTGGCCATAGTCCCGACATTCCTGTCCCCATAGGGATGCAGATGAAGCCCTAGCCTGCTGTATCCCTTCCCTGGTACCTAGCACCATTACTGTCCTTGTATGGATGCAGATAAAGTCCTATGCCTGCCACATCCTTTTCCTGGCACCTAGTACCATTCCTGTTTTAGTAGGGATGTAGATGAAGCCCCATGCCTGCTGCATCCCTTCTCTGGCACCTAATACCATTCTTGTCCTCGTAGGGATGCAGATGAAGCCCCATGCCTGCTGCTTCCCTTCCCTGGTACCTAGGGCTTTTTAAGGCATCCTTTGAAACTTAGTAGAAGCAGTTACACTTCTGTAGCCCTTGAACTCTGTGGGTTTGAAAAGTTAGTGGCCCAGGAATGCCCTCAAAATTTATTCCTTAGGCTTCCCAGAGATGTGACCTGGGCCACACATGAGGCTTAACAGGGTTATCTAGAAAGTTCTGTGGTCAAATCTGGAAAACAGGCCCAGGTGATGCTGGGTAGTGAGTTCCAAGGCCTTCTAACCATTCTGTCCTCAAAACCCTGATAGTCTGGGCATATTATGGCACTAGGAGCTCTGGAAGTCTCTCAAGTGCCTCAGGGACCATTCTTCCCTTCCTTTAATGAATGCCATCTGGCTTCCTTCTGTTCATACTAATGCCCTCATAAAATGTTTCCTTGATCGTTCCTTTGGCTTTTTCACCCAAACCTGTCTTTTATCTGTTTACATGGGCAAGATGAAAATTTTCCAAATCTCTAAAGTACCACTTCCCTTTGGAATATAAACTTTATCCAGAATTAATTTTCTCATCTCATAATTTACTCTAAGTTGTCTTGAAGGATATGTCAAACTTAACTTTGCTTGAATGTTTCTCCCACCAAACATTCTAAGTCCATACATTGAAATTCTGCCGCCCACAAATATTAGGACACAGACCCACAGCAGGTCAGTTCTTTGAAGGTGGCCCGTCCTTCAATATCTAACACACTACTCAGTTTTCATCTGAAATCTCATCAGCATCCCATTCTCTGTCCACATTTCCGCCGGAAGTTGATCACACCACTCCACCCATCTCTAACACTAACGATGTCTCCCAAGCTCTCCTGACCCTTCACCTTAAAGCTCCGTGCGTTGCACTATATGCTTTATTCCTAGCCTTCATTTCAGCGCCGCCGCAGCCTCCATCCGCCACTCTTCTTCTAAGGCACCTTCTTGTATTTTAGCAATGAGTCATTTCCCATGGCAATTTATTTATCAGACTATTTCTGCTGTCATGATAAAATATCTTAAACTGGGTGACTTATAAGCATCAAAAGCATAATTCTCATTGTTCCCAAGAGCTTACAAACTAAGAGCAAGGCAGGGCTAGGTGTGTTGTCTATAAGGACCATTTCTCTGCATGTGATTTTGTGTCTTATCTACTGTGCTCTTGCATGGCAGAAGGGACAGATGGGTGAGAGAGGCTAAAGGTAGTTGTCTTTATCGTATTTTTAATGCTCTGATGTCCACTCATTGGGTCAAGTGTTCAGAATTTCATTGCTGTTGTCTGTTCTGCCCACTTCCGGCAGTCGTTAAGTCCCAAAGAAATCACACAGAGGTCTGCATTAGTTATAAATTGATTGGCCCATTTTCTCAGGCTTCTTATTAGCTCTTATAACTTATATTAGCCCATTATTCTTGTCTATGCTAGCCACGTGGCTCAGGACCTTATTCAGTGAGGTAGTCACATCTTGCTTCTTCTGTGGTTGGGTCAGGACTGCAGAATGCAGAATCTTTTCCCCAGAATTCTCCTGTTTTCTTTGACCCACCTCTACTTCCTGTCTGGTTGTCCCACCTATACTTCCGGCCTGGCTACTTGCCAATCGGCATTTTTTTTAAATATAATTGACAGAATACAGACCCTTGTCCCACACCACATTGCCTTCCAAAAGACCTAACCTCTTACGGTTATTGCATTGGGCTTTAAATTTCGGCATACAATTTAGAAGAAATACAAACATTAAACCTGTAGCGCTTATGTTGTTGAGAAAGAAAGAAGACCACAACCTTGGTGTAAGACATGATAGGGACACTTAGCGGAATACGTATGCCTCAAGAGTAAATGCCCAAAGCCCCACAGAAAAGGAAGAGGTAAAGTTCAGAAGCTGATAGACAGGGCCACAGTAAACTGATGGCATTTAAGACTTTTCCATGAACTCTTGAGTTCTAAACTTAGGTCTGAGCCAAGAGGTACACAGTCAGGTAAAGTGGAGGGAGGCGTCTTAATAGCTATGTGTGATTCTATGATCCTATGGTAGTGTAAGTACTTGGGGAACCCTTGGGATAATGGTCTTCCTGTGCCCTCTCATATGTTGAAGCATTCCACGGTCCATATATACCATAATCTGTACTTATTATTGAAGCATGAATGATCCAGGTTGTGTGTGAGCTTGGCTTGTGTGTGAGGCAATCTATGCTAAATGACATATTCGGTGAGGTTCTATAGAGAACTATATTTTAAGCACAGCATGTATTTAAAGTGATTAAATGTTACACTGTATATGCAATCTCCTTTGGATGGTGACAAAATACTTTAGGACAAAATAGAGGTGAAAACTGGATAATGCTGTGAATGAATTAAGTGGTATTAAACTGGGTATTTTAAAGAGGTTTAATTATAGGAATTTCATATCAATTAAAAATTATCACCACTATGAATAATAGCAGTCAAGAAGTTCAGTTGAGCATATAGAGGTGTATGCAAATTTCTGTTAAAGATCTAGTTCTCTCATGTTCAAAGTGTGGCTCCCTGATGGCAATAGCTCTAAGAAACTTATTAGAAAAGACAATTTGTTGACTTCAGCCAAACTCGATTGAATCAGACATGGGGCCCAGCAGTCTAAGTTTTAATAAGCTATCCAGGTGATTCTGAAGCATGCTAAAAATCAAAAGTATTGATCTATGTTTTTTGATTAGCAGGTATGCTTATATGTGTTGATTTTATAATTAAAATAGAACCAAATTAAAGAAACGAATGCATAGGGTCTTGCAAGGTCTAAGGGTGTCTATGGGTCCAGGCCCAAGAGTTACATCTTAATTTGATCTTATGAACTTAACGATTATTTTATAAAGAAGGGATTCCCACAGACCATCAATCTCATTACGTCAACACCCACTTCTAAGCCAATACAAAGCAATGTCGATTCATTACAAGTATTTTAGCAAAATAAAAGTTCTAGAATTAAAAAAGAAAACCAAATCTCATTAGAAAGTAGAGTCTTAGGATAGCCCTAAACATGAAGGAGAAGACAGATCTATCTTCATCATTTAGAGCCTGAACCTAGAATCAGGCTTTTTCTCAGGTTCTGCCTTTTGCTGACTCTAACACCCACTCTACCTGGCAGCTTGGGGAACGCACTTTGGGGTCTTCCATCTGTGAAGAAGAGGAAGGGAGCCATGGGAGAGGTCATGTCTTGGAGTGAGGACTGATGGGGGCTTTCAATAGAGACATTCCACCCCACTGCTCCCAGCAGTTGCTGGGGATGGCTGCCAGCTTTGGGAAGGAGTGAGGGGACTGGCTGGTCTCCAGCGTGGACTTGGGCTTTGGTGAGAAGGGAGCATGTGCCAGCCGTAATTGCCTCTGCAGCAGTCTGGTCACTATTGTCCTCCTGCTATTTTCTCTGAACAGGCCCTGTTGTCTTTCTCTGTGAATATTAATTTCCCTGGAGTTAGGATAATTGGACCAAGAGCAGCCCTCCACAGATCTGGGCCTATTGACAGGACTTTTCCACAAAAATGGGCCTGGGGACAATTTCTTGGAGTGGTACTGTGTCATCTAATGAAGTATCTATCCTTTGCCAAGTGAGGTGGCAGAGCTCATTCCTGTCCTCCTACCTCTGAACTAGCAGAGGTTTATGAATTCCATGCCTGGACTTTTCCTCCCACCTTTAATGCCTTTAATCAGCTTGCACATGGGAGGATCAATAAGCATCTGTTCAAGGCATGGATTCATGAATATAAATGGAAAAGTGTGACCGAGGAAGAAGTGAAATTAAATTTCACAATAATGGTGCTCTGAGCCATGCTAATCATTTAGATTCTGAAAAATGCTTGTGATCCTCATGCTGTGGTTGTAATCTATTAATAAATTAATAAAAATAACAAATACTGGACAAATAGATCGTGAATGTAACAATGCTTGGAGTTTCAGTTTTCAGTTGAAAATATGTATTAGGTGTGTTTTATCTGCAAAGCACAGTGGCCAAGTACCACATCAACCTATGTTCTTACTTAAGATTTAGGAAGATGGGAATGACAATTATAATTGTGCATTTATTGTCTCAACACTATGATGTAAAAATACTCAAGGCATCAGAGACTCAAAACTAGCGCCAGACATAGTTATAAAGGTAACTTTGACCATATTGTGGTTGCTTATGAACAGTACAGTATTTTCCAACTTGTGGCATCATCTGATTTTTTTTGTTTCCCCCACAATCCAGGTAACAATAGGTGGAAGAGCCAGCTACTACGTGTCCTATCGAAGAGAAGCCTTTGCCCAGATAAAGCTGCCCAAGTACTCCTTGCCAAAGGTATTGCATGCAGCGCTTCCTCTCTAGAGTCTTGCCTGACAATGCCAGGGATGGAGAGACTGCCTCTATGGGATTCAGGAAGTCATTGGCTTTTAGTCTGGAGCACTTCTGAAGGATTCTGGTCATTGTTGATGGTGCTGAACCTGAGAGGTTACTCCTTTCTCGGCAGCATGCCAGGAGTGGGTTTGATTTCCTGTAACTCAAGCATGTGATACGGTCTTGGGCTTTTTGCCAAGAGTGGGAGAGATAGGAATACTGCTTTTGAAATCAATCTCTTCAGAGGGTTCTCCTTCCTTTAGCAGTTTTATTGACAACCAGAAGGTAAGTTTCCTAGACAGGAGCACAGCCGCTGCACGTGGTCCCTGAAAGTACATAGAGAAGTCTGGTGGCATTCTTGATACATTTGAAGGGTGACTATGAACACTGTACCTATGTTTCCACCCCACTCTGTCACTGCGGAGATAAAATGGCCTGAATAACTGGAACAACGATATCAAGCGGTGACATTTCACCTCTTCTATTGATTATAAAGCTTATTCTGTGCATCCCATTTCTTGTGAACAACAGCTCCTAGGTAAAGGTGGAGTTTGTAAGTTCATGGTTAACAAAGCCAGAATGTGATTATATAATTTAATGGGGCAGCAGGAATGTGGTCTCGAGGTGTACACTTACCACATCATATGTCAAAAACACATCAGCCTCTGAGATGAGGCTAAGAAACATTGTAAACGACTACCTGAGCACAGACGTAGGAGGATTATGGCATTTTATTTTCAATTATTCATGTTTGGATGTGTTCATTCCATTCTGTTTTCAACTATTCTTTCTTTTGTTTCCATTTACTCAACTTTTCTTCCATTTAAGTGGACAATCTATGCTTAACATTGAATTGGTTAAAAGTCTTCTTATTGATGGAGAATTTAAATTATAAAACTCAATCTCTATTTTTTACTATTTCCCAAAATTATTAATTTTTTATATTTTTAATTGAAATAAAATTTCATCATATACCCTTCATTCCCCACCCCCTGTTCCTACCAGATACCCTCCCTAAACTCCTCTTGTACCCCAAACACTCAAATTGATACCCTTCTTTTCTTTGGTTCTATTTTTTATATGAGTGTATACGTGTATGTGAGTGCAAATTTTTATGAGTACAACCTGCTGTGCCCATTGTTTTGTTTGTATAGATATGGGGATCATCCCTGAAAAACACTGATTCACTTCCTCCCAGTCAAAATAGGTACAGTCTGGCTTCTATGATTTGACGCTGGGCAAAAAAGTCAGTTGGTAACAGATGGACAGGAGGTGGTTAGAAATACTTTGATTAGAAGCCACTCCATGGTCTTTCAGTTCAAAGTATGGAATAGGCCAATGAACTACAAAGCTGAGTCACACCAGGAGGAAGAAAGGCTTGTCAAAACCAGAAATGACTTTCTCGTGCTCAGAAGCAGGATTGGGACAAACTCATGCTGTTTGTGTCAGCCATAGAGAAAAGTGGGTACGACTTTAACGGGTTAAAATTGTGATGTAGCTTCACTGGATGTTTTCTCCATGTACTCACTCAATGCCTTGAACCTGGCACATTTTATAAATATCAAAATATTCATAAGCAATAAAAATCAAATAAGTATAAATTTAATAAGATATTTAAAAACATTTCTGAAAAACATTGAACTAGGGCTTGAATAGTAAATATGGTAACAAACATTCATTGCCTGCCGAAATCAAATAAGTATAAATTTAATAAAATATTTTAAAGCATGTGAAAAACTGAACTATGGATTAGTGAAAACAATGCAAACACGTCTGGCCAGCTAGAGCTTGTAGTGTGGTAGACAAGCAGCATTAAGACAGCCAATGTGAGTGTGGGGTTTATCTCAGAAGTTTACGGACCAATTTTTGGATGAAAGGTGCAGATAACTGCATATGAATAATAAAGACAACTTCCTAGAGAAACTTATTTAAGATAATATAAAGAAACTATGAAATTCAGCCTGTAAGCAAGGCTAGGTTGGAAGTACAAGGCTGATAGGTAATACAGTCATGTCTTATTTTCTCAGAGGTATTGGTACCATGACACCTACAGATATCAAAATCCATAGATGACTAGGTCTCTTCTATAGCTTGCATGGCATAGAATTTTTATATAACCTATGTACATTATTCCTGAATAGTTAGAATCATCTATAAACCTCGTGCCATATTTTTTTAGGGATCAAAGGAAGAAATGGCAGGTTTTTTTTTTTTTTTTTTTGGCAAAGTTATGGAGTTAACCACACTTTATTCTCTGGAAGCTAGGAATAGGAAAGATCAAATCTACATACATGATAGGTGTTATATCCTCAGTTATTGGGTTCCCCCACTGATGCAATAAGCCAAATCAAACCAATTTAATAAGACTAGATTTAGTAAACAGAACAAAGCAACTCTTGACACAGGAGAGAAATCCTGTGTCAGGTCAAGCAACCAGGTCTTAAATACCCTGTAGGTGTGGTTTTGACAGCTCCTGAGAAGGAGCTGACCTTTGGCAGGCATTCTGAGGGGCAGGGCCTGGAACAGGAGGAGGGAGACTGGAGCAGAGATACCCAACAATGCAAAGACTTTGCATGAGGAGCAAACATAGCTCCTTTAACAAGGTTAAAATGCCTTGAGAAGTTTGGTTGCAGTTTGGCAGAAGGGCTGTTGAAGATGGCAGATCCTGTGTTAAATAGCCTTGGGGAACATGGACACTGGTTTCTGGTTTCATTCTTGCCTCTCTATGACTGGATGTTGTGGGGAAAAGGTTCAGTATGGTGGCTGCAGTTGTCTAAAGCCAGCCAGGAAACTGGGATGAGAGGCTGAGAAAGGGAGATATTCAGCTCTGAGTTTCCTAAAGGAGAATTCTGTGGTCCTCACCACTGGCCCAAGCCTACAAGTCCCCCCTACTCTGTCCTAAAGTATGTGTTTCAGGAACCTTCCAAACATCTCTCTCATAAGGATGTGTTTACCTTGGTGTGAACACATAGTTTGTGAAATTTTCACCTTCTTAGGAAAGCAACAGTTCAGGCGCTTAGGCATGTGTCTGCAGGTGGGGGTACAGATGAGGCCCTGAATTGATTTCCCCCAGAGTGTTCCATTAATGATTAGCAACCCCTTGGTGACTTATTGTGGGGGCGTATCAAACCGCTCACGTGGCCCCTTCGTGGAAGAGCATCCAGAGAGACGTCTCATTAATATGAGACTGCTGTGAATGGGGCTGGATGGTGATCGATCATTTTATTAGCCGGTGTTGGCCCAGATTTTCATAATCAGGGCTAAGGAGCTAGGGGCAGAGGGTGTGCCGGGAGATTAGTTCTTTCCGTTGTGTGAAACACTGGAGCGACTTCAGGCATATTGTTGCTGTTGCACGCAGGGCTGTAGCTGCTGTTGCGTGCCTTGGGAAAGAAAACACAGATGATAGAAAAGTTTTCTGTAATCCCAGGATCTACCCCATGCTTCTGTTCCCAGCCCACCTGTTCAGAACACGCACACCTTGGCTTTAGAGTATTTTGTAGACGGTGAGGCAAGTGGCAGTCATAATGAGCAGCATTGCTAGAGAGAGGAGCGGTGCACCAAGGCTTCCATGGTTCCGTTGCTGGGACTCTCACCCCGTAGACGGGACACTTATGCTCCAATTGGAAAACCTGGTGCAAGAGGGAAAGTGCAATGGCAGCTGGAAAAAGAGAGCTGAGCTTTTGAGCAGAAATCTAAATACCCCTTCCAGCTCAACCGCTTACCCAGGAGCCTGGGTCTCCTCATGGGCAGAGTGGGATAGTAATACTGACATCGACATGTGGGGGATCAGAGAACAACTCACTCCTGGTCCCGTGTTCTCATGTACAGTGCCCAGTAACGCTAAGGAACAACTGTTACTTAGGGGCAGATGGTACCAATGCCCATAGCCTGCCTGCTGTGCAGATTAAGGTTATCGTAGGACTGTATCTCAGAAGCATTGGCCTCCATATTGCCTAACACTGTCACTTTGCCACTCTGAACCCAGCATCGCCTTTTTGGTCCCTTAGGTTCTAATTTTTTTCTTAAGTTGCAACTCTGAAAGTCATTTCTATGAGAGAAAAGTTTTGTTTGTTCCTCAAAAGTATTTGGGTTCTAGTGATACCCCTGAACTTTGCCTGAGCCCCTAGATTCAGGGAAACTGCCAAAGTTAAGAAATCTTCCTCCCTTTTAAGTGTTGGGGGAGAGGCTTATCTCGAAAGAACTGCTTCCCATGAGACTTGATAAGAGCCAGGTGTCCGCCTCTAACAAGGCTAGTTCACATTCTTGATCTCAACAGTGATTACCTGAACTGTTGTCCTACTAATCAATGTGAAGAAAAAAAAAATCCTGACAATTTGACATGACTAAACAAAGACTGACTTTTCTCTTGTCCTCTGTCCTTGAACTTTGCCCACTCTCAAGTTCATACAGGCAAGGACAGAGAGCTTGGGCAAACAGTGCAAAAGGGACAGCCATCCACGAGACCTTACAGCATTTCCGAGCATCACTTGTTCCCTTCAGTTGTTCCATCACGCTGTCTGCACGCTCTGCTATACACCCAGTCCTTTAGTTTATTTTACATTTTTTAAAAGCAGCTCTTGGGATTGGGGGGGTTTTGTAGATTAAGTGCTTGCCGTTTAAGTGTGAGATTCAGATCCTCAACACCATTTTATGCGCTCACATATAATCCCTCATTTAGAGAGGCAGAGTCAGGGGATCCCCTAAAGCAAGCTGGTCTAACTATACTATGTATTCAGGGGTTGCAGCAAATCTGTCTCAGCACCAAAGTAGAGAGTGATGGAGGAAGAAGACACCCGAAGTTAAATTCTTCTCTCTACACACAAGCACTTACACACATGTGGACACAAATACTTAAACATGTACACCACACATTCACACACATGCAGCAAAGACTAAATGGAACGTATAGAAATTTTAAAAAGTCAAAGAAAATAATTAAAAGCAATTCTCAGCCAGGCACCATG